TGAAAATGGGGGCAGATATAATAAGATATTTTCTTCTTCTGCTACCTTTCATTTCATTTGTGTTTTTGTTGTTTGTTGAATTTATGTTGTTTTTTTAAAGATGAATAAACTWACTAACTAACTAACTAACGTTCTGAAGGTTGTAAATATTTGAGAAGGATTAATCTAAGAACTAACCAAGAAGAAGACAATCACTTACTACGATGTCAAAGAAAGAAGACCTGAAGTTATATCTGACAACCTGATCCTCTAAGTTCTCCCAGAGCGTCCCGTTGATCTGGAGGACAGAAGAGCAGAGTCAAAACAAGTCGCCGAGTCGTCGACGYCGCCTCCGCGCCGCTCAACTCACGTTCATCTCGATGATCCAGAGAAGGCTGATGAAGAGGAGGTCGAACGTGACGAACAGGCAGAAGGTGCGGCGCACGTCGGAGATGGCTCTGCGCTCCGCGGGCGGCACCAGCAGGTAGGGAGAAGGGAGGGACAGGGAGGTGGAGTAGGAGGCGTTCAGGGAGGCGAGCGCAGGGAGGCTCCCCCCCAGCTCCGCGTAGTCTCCAGCCGGCATTCCTGCTGAAAACGACAAAACATCCAGCCGCACGGTCACCTTCCTTCTTCCATTTTATTAACMGAACATCATCGTCTCCTCCCTCGCCTCTGTTCCTCTCAACTAAACAGTGACGTGTAGGCGTTTCACTGAAATATATTATAGTTTAAAACATGTTACAAACTCAGCTGCATCGCAAAACTTGTTTCAGAATTTGACTATTTCTGTCAGATAAAAACTAAAGATCTCTGTGACAGAGTATCTGCTGCTGAAAGGAAAGTCTGTTAGCAAAATATCCCATGACTCCCTGAAATTCCTTACTGAAAAGTGGATGTACCTTCAACTGATTAACAACCCAGTTGAAAATGTTGGCCACAGCCAACATTCAAAACCATAACAATGATCATAATTCAGCCTCTTTTACAACTCTTTGGTTTAGGAGCAGCTGAGACTGATATTTACTATAGTAGAGCCTTTATCTATAGTAGAGCCTTTATCTACAGTAGAGCCTTTATCTATAGTAGAGCCTTTATCTATAGTAGAGCCTTTGTCTATAGTAGAGCCTTTATCTATAGTAGAGCCTTTGTCTATAGTAGAGCCTTTATCTATAGTAGAGCCTTTATCTATAGTAGAGCATTTATCTATAGTAGAGCATTTATCTATAGTAGAGCATTTATCTATAGTAGAGCATTTATCTATAGTAGAGCATTTATCTATAGTAGAGCCTTTATCTATAGTAGAGCATTTATCTATTATCTATAGTAGAGCATTTATCTATAGTAGAGTATTTATCTATAGTAGAGCCTTTATCTATAGTAGAGCATTTATCTATTATCTATAGTAGAGCATTTATCTAT